GTATTCATTGATAAACGTTTATTGTGGGAAAAATTGTAGGGTTTTTATATTGTGCTAAATTATACTATTTAGAGAATCGATAGTGATGTTGTAATAAATATTAATTGTTGTAAAGTCTCAAGTAATAAAGTAATAAATTAAGTCATTTAGATTTATGGCCAAAAGGCCGAATTATAAAGTTTTAGTTTTCTGTAAACAGTACCTGCCCCTTTCAGTAAAGAGAAAACGCACTTTTGGTTTTACTTTTAAATGGCAAACAGATGTAGATTAGTAGGGTAAATGCCTTGATTTGTATATATTTTAAAGTTAGATTGCGGTTAAAAAATATGTTTTTTTTTGTCGTTCTTTGTAAAAACAAAATTGGGTAGACAAATGTGTCATTTTAGCCGTAAAGAGTGTTAGTTATGTATATCAATTTTTCGGGAAAAAGGGGATATGTACAGCGGCGGGTAGAATCATGAATATTGAGGAGGGTCGGATTTATTTGTACATATCCACATACCTATAGCGGGACATTACGCGGAAGTAGTCGGTATGTTTGTTATTTAGTTAGAATAAATAGGTAAAATTGTGTTAATAACAATGATTTGTCAATCGACAGAGCAAATGAGCATCGCGCCAAAAAAGAGCCTTAGGCCACCATAGACCGCCAGGGACCTCAATAGTAAGGGCCTAAAAATGGTATTTCCCTTGCGGCTATATAAATTAAAGCCTGATAGAGGCAGGATGGATCTCTACTGAGATACCCCAAAAATGGGCCTGACGGGCATCCCCCTTTATATCAGGTGTTCTACAATCGACCGTTCAGTGTTTTCCATACAGGACTGAGTATGTCAGTACGTTACGGCATTGGAATATTAGGGAAAGGCGTGACTCACGGTGAGGTAAATCTACACTCCGGTTTTTACACATGTTACAAACATTATTTTATATTTCACTGAACTTCCCATGCTACCGCTGTACTCTCTTTTATTAGACAATTCGTAATTCAGTATTTCCGTGCAAAGGTGTGATTGTATATTAGGAGACAAACAAATATACCAAAGTACTTCAAACTTTTATTTTACCCTTTTATGGGAACTAAAAGCTCTGATGTTAGAAATGACACATTGGAAAGCCTATATAAACATAATGTTAAGCCTAGAAACGGCACATAATCTAAATGTCCGGCTGTACAAAAGAATAGATGTTAAATAAACAGTATTCCAAATTAATCTCTGTGTTTGCTTGGTTCTTCCTCCATTACAGCTACATTGAACTCTAAACGTAATGCTGGGGGTTTTAACATCACTTCGTGGGGATCTACTAGACGAAATTTAGGCCAAGGTTAAGGGTATTGGAAAACTAGGTTAGACCCCGGTTTGTCAAGTCACATGAACGGGATCCAGCATTATCCATTTAGCTATCCATCTTGAAAACGGCCGGCGCGTATATTTCACGAACGATACAGCGCTTGATCGTGCTATACATCCATCAAAAATTACGCTCACCGAATTTTTTGAACTGTGCAATCGTGATAGTACAAATATGAATAATTGTTTTTGATGTTTAGATAGCTATCAAGAATTGTAATTTAAAATATATTCGTTACTTTAATAAAGATTAATTTATTAACCTAAATAAAGCATACTTTCATTGTTTACAACGCTTTCGATTATAAGTATATCCCCGCACACTTATAGTAGATAATTATTTTCATTGAACTAAAAAAATGTTTCCTAGAAATAGTATACATGGCAAAACAACATTTGCCGGGTCAGCTAGTTTACAATAAAAACTGAAAAATGGTAGGTAAAGTTTCATATAATATTTTTACACCGAAATCAATGTCAAGCTTTCTACATATCCTGATATATATTTAAAAATAATCTCAAATTATGAAGAAAAGTCAGTTGACTAACTAATAATGTTAATATTACAATAAATAAAATATTCATTTATTAATAGTTGTAGTGCTTGGAAACAGTATGATGTTGATAATAATAACTACACTTAATATAAATTCAAATAAGGAAAGAAAACAGCGATATTGTCTCTTGTACAAAGTTTTGAACCCAAATTATAAATGATAAAATTATTGGAAAAGTGAACACCCATTTTAAATTACAACAAGCCGCCACTGCTTCTCTAACAGCTTTAAATAAGGCCATATATTCGGCTTCTGTTGAGGAGGCAGCTACAGAATTTTGTTCTCTTGTATTCCAAGAAATAGTACAATTTTAAAAATGTTTAAATACCTGTTGTACTTTTTCTATCTTCCCCATTCAGAATCCGCATAACTAATGAGTATATAATTTATATTCACCCCTTTTATAAGTTAGTTTTAAATCGACTGTGCAAACTGTGTAAACAAACCCATAGTTCTTTGTTTTATTGATATACAGAAATATAATTTGTAACGGTTGTAACAGTATTCGTTATTTTGACACCAACATCTCTACACAAATGTCACTTGTCGTTTATGCCTTATGTCAAAAGGGTAATTCATTTGGATCTATATCTGTCATCGAGCAAGTTGATTTATTGAATTTTAATTATCTTTTTATCTTGGACATCCGATGTACTAATTGTCTTTAATATTTTTAATGACCGTCTGATTTTAAAAAGGTAAGTTTCCTACCGATATTTTGTTGAAAATATATATTTAGAACAAGAATGTCTAATTAAAATGTCAAATTTGAAACATAACCTCAACATTAAAACACAAGATTCACGTGTTTAATATATGTTTATCTATTATTTTGTTAGGAAAGAGATAACATGCTTTACTATATTTAAATATGTTAAATAAGATTTTTCCTTTTCATATTAATTTTGGTCTCTGTGAAGCTATTCACTAATAGTATTAAATTGTGCATTTAATAGTAAAAAGCATCTTATCTGTTTCCTATATACTCTTCCTGGCTCCTTTCTTGATATTTTTACCTTTTTCCTTGTAGCCTGGCTGTATCTAGATGGTTCTGTAGAAGTTCTGTAGAAGTTCTGTAGAAGTTCTGTAGAAGTTCTGTAGAAGTTCTGTAGAAGTTCTGTAGAAGTTCTGTAGAAGTTCTGTAGAAGTTCTGTAGAAGTTCTGTAGAAGTTCTGTAGAAGTTCTGTAGAAGTTTTGTAGAAGTTATATCGAAAGAGTTTGTTTAGAAATTTGGAAGAAGCTGCATGTTTAGAAATATAGAAACTTAGAAGTTTAGTTCCAGCTACAGAAGTTGATTTCAAGTATATCAAGAAGTTTCGTTTGAGTCATCTAAAGAAGTTTATGAGATTTGGGTTTACCTAGGAAGATTTATACTTGAAGAGTTGGTGATATCCGTAGTATCTCATATGAATCCTCTAGAAGAAGGCATCTACAGTCACTCCTAAAATACTACCTGTTATACCACAGATAAGTCTATAATAAATCATTTAAATTTGAATAAGTAAGTCTCTGTGAATTAGAATTTGTCGCTGCCTTATCTGAAACCTTATTTAATTATAATATCTTAATGGTTAGTGATTTTCATCACTAATCGATTGTCAAGTTTAGAAAGTTTTAAATATAGTGGTCTCAACATTCTTTTTCAAAGTAATACGAGTTGTTTAATAACCTGACCCACTCCCCAAAATCATAGAGCTTAAAACACTATAAAAATAGATAAAATAACAAGATCATATTACAAAATGGCGCCTCAACTACTGGGTTAAATAACTCGTTACTTTGAAATAGATTCCTTATAACTTATCATTCTAATTCACATAGGTATTTAACAGAGATTAACGATTCTAACTGTATGTCTTCTATATGTTTACTAATACTTTATTACCTATCATTTTAACCTTTTCTATAAATCTGTGTATCGTATCGTCAAGTTTTATATAGTATCTGCATTTTGTACTAGGTTCAGTGTTTATTTATACATATTTTTACATATTTACACATATTTATCTACACATATTTATTATTTTGCTAGTGATATATCTATATATTCATTATACACTGATAAAAGTGTATAGTTGATATACAATTCCAACAGATATTAATGAAATTTATAAAAAAAACTGATTTTAAAAACATTTTTTTTTGAAACTATGAATTTTTGGATCAATGTCTATATAAAGGAATTTTTCATTGTTTTTTATGTAGAATAACCCCTAAAATTATTGGAACTGAATTATAGGACACCCGTAATAACAAATTTGGAAGTAAATGAAAAACAACAAACCAAATACAAAAAACAGTATTAATTCATGCAAGCATTTAAAATCTAATTGTGCTTGCAAGTCCTTTAGTGCTTACAAGCCTTTTAAGTGTTTAAAGCTTTAAATGGTTTGAAATGCGAAATTCAATTACCAATTACCCAGCACTTCTTATAAAAGGCTTCAATTAACATTTTAAAAGGGATTGCAAGCACTGTGCTCGCAGCACTTTTTCAAGTACTGCTCAGCTCTGCCGTATATCCAGTAGGGTGGTACCAGAGATAACAGGTTGGTGCGAAAAATGTCAAATTATTATTTTTGATTTGCTATACCGCTAAAAAGTTGCTTGCATAACAAAATAAAAATATTCAAAATCGGACAATATCTTACATTCGCGCAATATGCCTAAAGTTTTAAGAAAATTAGGTACGAATTTTTGTTTTTTTAGTATTTTCTTTTTATTATAGTTTTTATTTTCTTTGCCAATTAAGAATATGCCGTAAATAAACTGAAAATTACGTTTGATTTTTTATGTAATTATAATAAGTTTGTTCGTAGAGCGTTACACAACCGTTTCCAACTAACATCGCATGCGCATTGAATATTTTGCGTTCGTGGAAGAATCACACATAATTTCCAATAATTATTAGTTTGGCGTTCGTAGAAACAAATTATGTGATTGCCAACTGATTGAGAACGGTTGGAATCTGACAATTCTCCAGATGTTAAATCCATAACCGTACAAATTACGTTCGCACTTGCACACTTATCTAGCCTTATATTATGTTAGTTTAATGTTATTACCAGTTGAGATATCAAATTTCATAACTTACTCTTTATCAGACATTTTCTTTCTTCTTTGGTTTTTAGCCATCACGTCAGTGAAATTAAATAGACTACTTCTCGCTTTTGACAGAGGACATATTGTAACTGCTGGAAATGGAATAGTATATATCGGAGTATTTGTTGTAGCAAAACTAACAATGACTGGACTTTGCTGAAATTTGACGTAGGTTTGGACTATAAGGTATACACAAGCTGATAAGGAAAATAATACTAATATTAACCATAATAACCTGGAACAAAATATCAAATGGAAACATACAGTATGATGCAAATATAGAATAAATTCATTATTTCAAAAATTGATGACTTTTGAAAAAATCCTAAACCCCAATTGACTCAGAGTGGTTGGAAAGAGATTCCACAACGAATGAAAATAATTATTGCTCTTATCAAGTTTTATTTATGTAAATTTAACCCTTTAAACACCATTACCTACTTGCATAAACACCATTACCTTAGATTAAAGAGACCGAAGATGTAACATTGCACACTGCGCATGCAGTCTATTTTAAGCCAAAGTAACCCACCAATTGAAAATCATTGTTGCACGACGCCACCCGAATTGCTCCGATTTCCATTCAGCGATCACACCTCCACCTGAGTTTAATCACCATTGACAGCTGTTTTTTGATTTATTTGTTGGTATTTTAGCAATTTAAAGTGTTCTAGTTATTCAATTTCAAGTTCAAAATGTCACGATGTATCTTGAAAAATTGTATGTACTTATAATACAAGTACTACTGTTATGAATATATTCGTTTTCAGCGGTAAATATTTATTAACGTTTTGACATAAAGCGCCATGATTCTCTGGGCTGAATACTTCAGATCCGCATTAAGGGGTTTCAATAAATATTAAGCATCAGATTTCATATTACTTACATAAATTTACAAAAGGGTAAAATTTTGAACATTTAATTTAAATAAATAGTAAATAGGCATTATTGCTAACGAAATTTTGTATTTAAAAAGTAGTTTTATAAGAATGTTTTCTAAAGGTAGTTTTTAGCCCTTTTTGGTAGATAAATAAGAGGTAAAGAATCATAGTTGCTAGCTAAATTTTATTTTTATAAGGTATTTCTATAAGAATATTAGATGAAATACAGGATGACCTACTTAAAATTTCAAGGTTCATCTTATTTGCGGTCAAATCGAAAGTGACATTGAATTTTCAGTCTTAAAACAAAGTAATCTAGTATAAACAAAAAAAAAATACTAAAGTTACAGGAGTTAGGTCCGATTCCACCGTTGTGTTAAACGGAGATTAAAATGACAGTGTTAATGTAAAAATGTCATTTTAAACTTCGTTTAACACAACGGTGGAATCAACCCTTAGTCACGTTAATAAAATGTTACATTACAAACCCCTAAACAACTCGAACATAATTTTCGTTTACTAAAAAAAATCCAAAATTTAGCAATATTTATTTATTATACAAGCGAATGCGATTTCAAAGATAACTGGATCAAAAAATCCGAATCTCTAAATTTTGGAGCTAAATGCTCAGATAAAAGCAAGCGACCGATAGGGGTTACAAAAATAATCGATTTATCGATAATTCTGATATTTTTTAATGAAAATCGATTTATCCGCTGTTTTTAATAAATTATTTTCGTTTTTTTTTAAGATAATGTATTAATCGATTTTAAAGGAAATACAGAAAAAGTACATTTATTCAAAATTATCGATTTATCGTTTAATCGGTTTTTTAATTATTTGATTATTTTCGATTTTTCAAAGATATTATATGAAAATAATCGATTGAATATAATATTTTTTTAAAATTATCGATTTATTGGATAATCAGCTTTTTAATAATCAATTATTTTCGATAATCGAATAATCAATTTCAAAGGAAATATGAAAAAAGGATTATTAGAAAATAATAGATAATTCGTTTTATTTTTTGGAAAATCGATTTATCATAGAATCGGCTTCTTAATTAATTGGTTATTTTCGATTAGGCGATTATTTTGGAATTATTGATTATTTTTGGTATTTCAAAGATAACCGAATTATCGATTTTAAAGGAAATACAATAAAAATAGATTATTGATAATAATCGATTGATCGAAAATAATCGATTATTTAAAATAATCGATCATTCTGTTTTTTTTTGAAAATCGATTTGTCAGTTAATCGACTTTTTAATTAATCGAATATTTTTGAAATACAATAAAATAGATTATTGGTAATAATCGATTTATCATAGAATCGGCTTCTTAATTAATTGATTATTTTTGATTAGGCGATTATTTTGTAATTATCGATTATTTTCGCTATTTCAAAGATAATCGAATTAACGATTTTAAAGGAAATACAATAAAAATAGATTATTGATAATAATCGATTGATCGAAAATAATCAATTATTTAAAATAATCGATCATTCTGTTTTTTTTTTAAATCGATTTATCAGTTAATCGACTTTTTAATTAATTGATTATTTTTGATTAATCGATTATTTTCGATTTTTCAAAGATTATCGAATAATCTGTTTCCATGAACGAAAAAAAAATGGTTTATTTGAAAATAATCGATTATTTAAAATAAACGATAATTCTATTTATATTATATTTTGTCAACACTGATTTATCGGTTAATTGGCTTTTTAATTAATCGATTATTTTTGATTTTTCAAAGATAATCAAGTAGTCGATTTTAAAGAAAATTACAAAAAATATATTGTTTGAAAATAATCTATTGATCGAAAATAATCGATTATTTTCAATTATCGATAATTTATTTCGATAATCACTCATCCCTAGCGACCAAATGACTTTTAATAGATTTAAATTTTAAAATGTTATCTGGTTTCAGACATATGCATTTCTAGAGTTTTATGTGACTCATCCTTTATAATAAATAATATTCTTAAAGAAAGAAGCCTTAATATACTTTTTCTGAGGTTACAATACAAAACAGCATTTTCTCATTTTGACTAATTTTTAATAATATGTAATAGCCGTAGAAAAAATATAATGTTCAACTCATAAGGGTAGATTTGCAGTATTAGCCTGCGCACATGCTATTTTTATAATACTCGTAGACAATGAGTAACATTTTTTGCTCTATTAACAATATATTCTATTTCAACATTTTACTGTAATCTCTTGCAGAAAAGTCCGTAGTAAATAAACGCTAACGAAATATTCTATAAAAGGTCTTCTCTTTACATAAAATGTCGTGGCATCTGTTTGATATTAAAAAATCACGATAATTTGATTTCATAATACAAAATTCGATTAAACACCTTTTAAATAAACCTAATAGTTCATTAAGTTGCTAATAAACAAAGTCCGGTCCCTGTCATAGAGTTCGAGTCGCCGCGTGTCGCCGCCCAGTTCCCCCACTCCGTTAACCCTTCTTTAGAAATTGGCAACATTTGCGCAGGTTTAAAACCGGTGTATGTTATATCTCTGGTCTCTTTTATCTAAGACCATTACCTACTTGCAACAAAAGCGCAAACGCAAACATGCTGAAACAAAGTGGGCTCTCTTTTGTGTATATTTTTTTGTTTTTTTATTAAATTCATCACAACAATTTTTTTATCGCATTTACCTATATCACTAATTCCTATTTAAATTTAGGCTTACGAGGTTCTATCGCATTTTTAATTTTACTCCTATTCTACTATATTTTTATTTTAAAATTTCTTTTTATAAAAAATACTAAAAAATAAAATACGTACCTTTCACATAAAGATCTAGATTCAGCGAAATACTTGAATCCATGGATAGTGGTACTATCACAGTACTCCTTAAAATACATATGAGTTTTCGCCAAAATCCTTTTTGGTTTTTGCGAATTACATTTATGGTTGTTGTCAGGCATTTTCAATTTAACCTCATTTTCTCGATTTCCCGCTTCTACAGTTTGATCCACCGTAAATATCATAGCCAGAGCACAACTTTTAAAAGCAAAAATATTTAAATGACTGTTTATAATTTCGGATTAGATTTGACCATCCTTATTATTCGCTTCTGTTTGAAATAAAATAATTGATAAGTTTCTGTTGCAATATTATAAATTGAATACGCTAATTAAATGAATAAAGGTTAAGGCTCAATGCAAAATAGAATAAACTAGGCACAGGAGGGTATGTGGACACAGCCTTGAGGAGGATGAAAAATCTAATATAGGTATAGGATTAGAGTTTATTTTACTTATTAAATCTTTTTTAGGCAACATATTTGTTATATTCGGAAGATATCACTTTTACATAATTAGCCGTTTTCTATTCATTTAATTGTTACCACGGAAGCGGGAATGATATAACACTACTTTCACTATATTGGAGGAATGAAATTCTGACATTGACATTTGTATACGTATAGGTGTCAATATATTGTGTTCTTGATTATACTTAGCACTCCATGAAAAAGGTGTATGACCACCAAATAAAATGCAAAAATACTTAACAAGTTAACGCAAATGAGAAGTCAGATTAATCAAGTCTTATTTCTCTTATGTTTCGGTGATGATCGGGACTTACTGTATTGAAGCAGTCGCTAGCCGGAGGGTCCTCGCAACTGCGCGTGCACCGGAGGTCCGTATACAATTTGAATTTTTAATTTTTCTAACGATTCCAATGAACAAGGCACTAAGACCCTAAAGAAATCAAAATGTTTTTATCTCAATTCATGCTAATATAATCAATAATGTTATCGAAGTTTATGTTCGTTGATATAATGACCTGTTCCTATTATGACAAAAAACATATATATTTTTGAAATCAAATAGCTATTCAATTAGCGTCAATTATTAAATTTAATAAAATCAATAGGTTAGTTAATTCTGTGTGCAACATGCAATACCATGAATACCCGTATAAAGTATAAACTTGTCGATTTTTCCTGTCCAAACTCGAATACTGTACGAACGACGAGTAAGTTCCAAATTAGATCTTGTCGATTTTTCCTGTCCAGACTTGAATTCTCTACGAACTACGTTTTTCCTGTCCAGACTCGAATATTGTAGAACGAGTAAGTTTCATATTAGATCTTGTCGATTTTTCCTGTCCAGACTTGAAGACTTATCTACGAACCACGAGACCACGAGTATAAATAAAACTGCAGGAGGCGTCGTAATCCAAATAGTTAATATTTTCTTCGGCTACGTGAAGGTCAAAAACCAAGACGCATAGTAAATATTCGACTGAGTGCTTTATATTTTGTGTTGTGTTGTAATTAAATTTTATGAAAAGATAAGTACCTACCCACATAATACCTATGTATTTGACTTGACTTTTGCCCGATTTGCCTGTTCCCATTTCGCCTAACCAATTAAAATTTCCCGATTTGCCTGACAAGCTCAAATTGTGGTATCGTTTCGCCTGACCATAAGTTGGAAGGTGCGTGCTTTTTTATCATAAGGGCCGTTTTCAAAATACATACAAAATTTGATTTATAAGGATGATTTGATTTGAAACAAAAAAAAAACTGCATTTATTGACATAATTAAAGTTTTGTACCAGTGTTTTTACATCAATCATTTTTAAATTTTCTAAACCATCTTGATAATTTTTCCTTTAAATCTTTTTTCATAGATATACTAAGTTCTTTTCTAAAGTAATGTATAGTTGAAATTATTACTGGAGTAATTTTAGTTTTTAAATATATTTGTTTTGTCCTGGCCGGTTATTGGGACACATACAAAAATTTCCAAATTCAAATAGTTTATTCGCTTTACGCTTCGTCAATTTGAAAAAATGTTTAGTTTTTATTTTGCTAACTTTTTACTATACTGGGTGCTCTATATTTTTTGTTTATATCAAATTAAATAACTATAACATTTTAATTTAATTTTATGTTCATTTCTTATTATTATTCATTTGTTAGTGTTGAGAATTCAAATAATTCTCAACGGTAGTTAAATTAAAATTTACCGCGCCAAATTTTCAATGCCCGATGAATATGCGCCAGCTCGGTTCCCTGTAAAAATGTGAGAAATAACGGTCAAGGATTATCTGCTTCTGGCGATACAGGACTGATGTGTCCCGAACGGCGTCAGTTATAAAGCAGTTTTACCCTAAAAAAAGTTATACTAATCACGTGTGTGTGTCTTAGTGTATATACCCCTGAATACACCCTTTTACATTGGCGATACCCTATATCCCAATAAACCCAAAGTACTTAACTCTTTTTAAAACGCTTTTAATTCGGTGGTGACGAGAAGCCGGTAACATATCAGAATTGCATCTCATATATCAGTGAAAGTACTATTATAAAAAGTGTGAAGTGCAGTGTTCAAAGGATTACATGTAAGCTTGGTACTGATATAATAAAAAAGTCTGGAAGTACCCTAAAACTTTCAAATCTGCCCCTAATTTTCTCTGTGAATTATACCACCATTTTAATAGCTAAGTCAATTAAGCATTGTTGCCAGATTGTGTGGTTGAGTCGCTTGGCTCTTATGTAAAAATATTATTAACTATTTTTTCCAATACTGAATATAGTAGTTGTTGTCCACCGCTTAATACAGTCCACTACTTACTTAAACTACGCAGTTTAGGCCGTGTACTGCACAGTTAGTAATAGATTTCTTTACAGCAAATACATATTTATTACGTGAGCAGGTCAAGAGAATCGCAACTATTTTTTTCCGTTTAACATGTAGTCAGGCAAAACGCTACCAAAGCGTACCAAATTTTTATGTCAGGCGAAACGGGAATATACCTTTGACTTTAACCTACTTCGGCTTTTAATAAGCTATTGTGGAAAATACTACAGAAGTAATTGAATACTTTTCACATCTGAAAATCGGGAAATGTGATTTTTTTCCTCTGTGCAAATTAGGTCTAAAAAATATGTTTATTATTTTTTCTGTTAAAGTTTGTGCACTAAAACCTGAATTACCCTCAATATTAAATGCCTTTACCAATTTTTGATATAGTATTTCTTAATTTTTAGGAGCCACAGAAGAGAAAACGATCTTCTGGTGCAAAATTTCGAGAGCAAGAAAAAGTTAGAGTCCAAGAAAGGGAGAAGATGGCTGGCACTATGAAACATTTGAGAAAAAGTCAAGTTTCCAACACTGAAACGATAGAGGAAGGTGAAAATACAGTTTCTGAAGCGGCGGCACCACCATCTTCTGCAACATGTGAACCATCAACATCATCATCACTTATCGAAAATATATTCTCTATAGAGTCGACCATCCCAACAAAGACGGCTACAAGTGACACTTCTGGCGATGAAGTTTCTACTGAAGCGGTGACTGAGAATACTAGTATTCTTATATCAGAGGACCCCGATTTATGGCCCAGAAGCATTACCAACGACGAAGTCAGAATACTGGTTGATCATGGTCCTCCTTTGATAGTAAACAATTATCAATTTCCAGCTAATAAAGACAACGACAAAAGAAAATTTTTAAGTAAGTACTTTGTCAGAAAACTAGGAAATGGAGAAGAAGCAAATAGAATTTGGCTCATTTACTCAGTTTCGAAAAAATCGATATTGATGGTTTTTCTGATAGGCAACATGTTAAAATTATATTATATTATATTAAAATTATAATAAAATTATCCACAACCGTAAACGATCATCTCTTACGGCTTTTAAAAACTGAAAAAAAAAATATTGGCATGACGTTCTGGAAAGAATTGTTGCAGTTGTCAAATTTTTATCCAGATAATGTACAGCGTTCCAAGGTTCTTCTGAAATACTTGAGTTTGATAATGGAAACTTCCTCAAAGCTGTCGAGATGATTTCCTCTTGTGATCCTGTGATGAGAGAGAGAACACATTAGTCAAGTGCAAAACTCTCAAACAAATTCGTTGAAAACGAAATTATTGAATTAATGTGTTCTGAAGTAAAAAATAATATTTTGAATATGGTTTGCAGTTCCAAATATTATTCAATAATTACCGGATACAAGTCATACAGAGCAAATAAGCCTCGTTTTGCGTTATGTCGTTCTAAATGACATTTCTAAAAAGGCTCAAACGCAACAGAGTTTCATAGCGTTCAACCCAATATCCGACTCGACAGGGGACGGGCTATTTGATTTTGTCGTTGGACTTTTGACAAATTTGAATTTAGATATTAAAGACATGAGGTCAAGGGCAGAGATTAGGGACATAAAGATTGGAAACGCAACGACCCCAGCAACGATGGCGTCATCTAGCGTCTCAGATGTTAACTACAGATCTACGTTGTTTGTAGAGAGACCAGTGTTGTCAAATATTTTTTTTGAGAGATCGTACGAGTAGAAAAATAGTATTTCGACAAAAAAATTGTACAATAAATGCATGCATAGCATAATATAACTTAAATTGAATGAAAAAATAAAAAAAAAAACTGGCATGATAATTTATTTATGTTTACAACGCAAAAAAAACTAAAGAAAATACATGAAACTTTAAATTAACATAAGTAATCAATGACAATCACTTGAAACTGATTAAAATTTTGAATACAAGCTTTTCTTATGCCGTGATAGTCGGTGTACAAAATTACCATGGTCAAAATCACGATAAGAAATTACGAACGGCCTATGAATCTTTGCAAGTAGTTTCTGATTTTTATTGTTTTATGTTCTGAAGTTGTTGCAGATATTTAAATAAACCATGGAGGTAGTATTCAACCTCATTGAAATAAACCTACTAAAAAAGTGAAGATCGTATTTTTACATACGATCTCACTGATGCAATCGTACATCGCCATCGTACAGAGAGTTAAAAAATCGTATAAATACGATTAAAATCGTACGGTTGGCAACACTGAGACAGACAGTAGACGTGGACAGCAGTGGACAGTTTGTAAAAATAAATGTCAGTTTTATGTATATCGAAGAATCCTGAATTTAAATTTAAAATTTTGAGTACATGATTGTGTTATCCTCTAGATGAACTAAGCGAAATAGTTGTGGCTGTTTTTGTGTGAAATTTAAGG